CAATATACACTGCTGGATGGGGCGTATGGGAGGACTTTCTGCAAGACAAGGGCGGCCTGGCGGAGCGAGACCTCACTAGGTAATGCGAAACAAGAGTGCGAGCTCTTGCGGCGGTCAACATGAACGAGCAAGATGCCCACCTGGCATCAGAGCATGCTGCCTGAAGTGCAGTGGTGAATACTGTGCCCGACGCCTGCCAGTGTGCTCGCCTCACCATGCTATAGAACAACCTCCGAATCCTACTCTTGAACATGATGAAGTCGAGGGCCGGCATGGAAGCCTCATCAACGACCACCAGAGCCTGGATATGGACGTGCTCCTCATCCAGGAACCATCAACCACCGTACCGAAGACATGCCAACCACAGTGCATTGCGACTATACCGACCGACCTTCCAGAACAACTCGGTCCGATTTTGGAGCCTGATTTATGTCAACTGGAGGCTGTTGACATCCTCACACCGACAAGTGAGATGCGACCATCCGGACATGGTAGCAGTTATAATTTGGACACCCGACTTCTAGGTCCTTATCTTTCTAGTGTATATTCCGCTCGTGCCGATACACACGCCCGAAGATGAATGGACAGAGATGGTACTCTCAGCTATTCAAGGCAAAGTCTAAACCACTCTTCAAAATGAGAGCAGGACCACCAGTCTTATACTGTCCGTAGTTTTCAACCGCTATCATCCAGCGTGGGAAGGCAACAGCAATCAACCTCGGTTCATCGAAGAAACAACGAATTGATCCACTTCTTTTATATACATGGCCTCCAAGGCTGTCTCAAACCAAATCGGCCCTAAGCGCCTTTATCCCCGGACTTCCTACCAGGAAGTGCTGCGACAAGTAATCGACCGTCGTCCACCGAATTGTAATTATCGCTGTGGATAGCTTTCCCCGTCTCCTGAAGGTCCATAGGTATTTTTATTCTGTAGTCTTTTTAGCCTTGTCTTGGATGGCAAGATGTTACTCCCATCTGGAATTCCTCGCACATTCCAAGTGAGGCTGGGCTGCAGCAACACTCTAGTGGACCAACCAGGCGTGATCGTAACCAGAAGAAGGTGTGGTTAAAAATCCTGGAACTTGTTCTCCGAGTCTAAAAGGTGTTACGATCCATGAACTGAGACAAGGCTTACATTTTCCAATTCGGGCATGGGCCTCATATTGTTCAGCACATCATCTCCAGGACCCAGTTTAATATCCAAGGTACAGTTTTCTATAAAGAAGAAGCCCTCATGGATTCATTTTCATAAGCGAGACATTCGCACATTGTGCATTAATTAGCTGGATTATCCATAGTTGAATGAACTATACTTACACTCTCATTGCTCTGCATTACTGGGAGGATGCCCGAGCCGGAGCCTTAGGGCATAGGGTAGGGGAGATGGTACGTTGATGGAGTGAGATTTCGTGACATGAAGGTTTGTGGTAAATAGTTCAAATTGAGAAGTTGTACTTGGGATAGGTATCCTCCTGCACGTGTAAGATTTCGTAGAGTGAGAACTGTTTTTTTGCATACTGCAGAACTACCAGTGAGAGACAAATTCGCCAGACTAACTACGAAATGCATTGTAAATATTTGTAATATTCTATGCAATAGACCAGTGTATGTTGCAGTGTCTCGTTAGATTCACAACTTCGACGGCACATTTCCCCCCTCCTCTTCCAACTTCGCTTGCTCCACCAAGATCCGTCGCAGAACTTTCCCAGCGGTACTCTTCGGAATAGTCTCCACAAACCTCACGCCCCCTCTCAACCTCTTATGCGGAGCCACCCTACCCTCCAACCACGCCCTAATCTCCTTCTCCAGTTTCTCCCCCGCCTCGTACCCCTTACTGGGAACTACATACGCCCGCGGCAACTCCGTCGCCCTCTGTCTGTTATACACGCCAATAACAGCGACATCGTCTACCGCGGGATGGCCTAGCAACAACCCCTCCAACTGTGCTGGCGCAACTTGAAACCCGTTGTATTTGATGAGCTCTTTGAAGCGGTCGGTGAGGAATAAGTTCCCCGAGGCATCCACGTATCCGATGTCCCCGCTGCGGAACCAGCCATCGGTGAGCGCTTCCGCTGTTGCGGGGGGATTCTGGTAGTAGCCTTTAAAGATGTTGGGGCCGCGGAGACAGATCTCGCCTTCTTGCCCGACGGGGACTTCGCTGCCGTTGGAGACGATCTTGAGGGACATAGATGGGACGAGTTTGCCAACTGAGCCGATGGGATTGTTCCAGTCTGCCGTTCTCTGAAAGCTAATTAGCATTGATCGCTTAACCTTGTCATTTGAGAAAGGGCGTAGGGAAGGTTGGGCTCACCTGTGTTGATATTGCGGGTGCGGCTTCTGACATGCCGTAACTTTGTTTGATGGGTATTTTTAGTCGAGAGTATATCATCTCGATCAAGTCATGCGTGAGTGGTGCTGCTGCGGAATGCAGAACTCGCAGCGAACTCAAGTCGAACGTATCGATGAGGGGGTGCTTTGCGAGGAGAAGCACTATTGGAGGGACGACATATGCAATTGTGACTTGGTAGGTTTGGATCGAGTATAAAAAATGTTCCAAGTCGAAGCGCTGCATTATATGCATCGTCACCCCTTTGTAAATTGGGATGAATATCAGAGCTGCGATACCTAGAACACTCAAGTTAGCAAGTTGCACAAGAAGCACAAGATATAGTATGGTCTGAAAACTCACCATAGATATGAAACATAGGCAAAAACGAAATCATAGAATCGTCCCTCCAATTCATCGCATCCCTCTCAGCATCCAAGCTCTGCAGAATATTCGCCACGATATTCTCATGGCTGAGCATAACCCCCTTCGGTAGGCCCGTGGTCCCAGACGAATAAACCAGAAACGCCAAATCCTCCTTGGAATCTACTCTCGCTTTCTTCACAACCTCCCTCTCCTCCTTCAATTCATCAAAATGCTTCACCTTCCCCTTCACATCCGGCTCCCCAACAAGAATGATCCGATTCAACGGTAACCCTACAATGAGCGCCGCCTCGCAGGCTGCGTCGAGACAGCTCACGTGGGTGGTGAGAGCTTTGGCGCCGGAAGATCTGAGCAAGGACGAGAGCTCGCCGACTGTGTAGAGGTTATTGAGGGGACAGACGACGCCGCCTGCCCAGAGAGTGGCGGCCACTATGGCGCCGATATCGGCGCTGTTGGGGGAGAAGATCGCCATTATGTCGCCTTTTTGCCAGTTCCATTTTGTGAGGAGGCCGCGGCCGGTTTCTATTGATGTCTGGCGGAGGCTTTGGAAGGTGTGTCTCTTGGCATTGGATAAGTCCACGAATATTGCTGTAATGCAGTCAGCGAATTGGCAGATTGGAAATGTTGGAACTGAGACCAGTTTGTATGTATCCTTACCGTGGTCTTCCGGGTAATCAAGAACCTTTCGTTCAAAAAAGAAGCTCCATAGATCTACATCTGGTACGGAAATTGGGGTAGAGGCAGAATGGGTAGGCATGTTTGCAACAGGGGAGTCTTAGTTCACCAACTTCAATGACTAGAAAAGCTTGAGCGTAAACCAAATAACAAAGAGGGAAAATACGAAGGTTTAATAGCAGCTTACCCCAGTCAGTCATCTTTCATAGGCGCCGAACACGACGGGTGGATCTGTCTCTGCAGTCTGCAGGGACTGATATCTGCAAATAGTGAGCCGCGGGAGGCTGTCACTTTCATCAAGAGCAGCTCTATCTCCAGGTGCGCACGCGTAGTTCGGCATTTTCTGGGGGTTGATGATCAGTAAACCCTACCATGTTCGGAGCTCTGAGACGACAAGTGAGCTTTTGCCCGCTAAATTCGATGCATGCCAAGCCGAATGGCGAAGGCCAAAAGCTGGCGGTTTGAGGCAGTGATTAGTATTCAGGTTGGACCGAGGCCAACTCGGCTGACAGGCGGAAGAAGTCAGCCAGCCACGCGTAGACCTCAGCACAGCCCGGGGCTAGGGCTAGACCTCGTCAAATTGGACCCCTTCAGTCAAGATTTCCCAAATAGGATCGATGAATTAGTATGATTCGCTAATAACTTGTGCGGGATCGCGTGTTATACATACTATTTTAAAACGCTTGGCGTCCCATTGGGTCCCAGGATGGCAACTGGGCAATCCCCTCCCCGCCCCACCTTGACGTCATATATTGTGCCTTGGGCATCAAAGGAACTCACCGAGGTCTTCGGCCAAAAGAGTCTCGGGACCGTGAGTAATCAAAAAACAAAGGCAAATCCAGCAGGTGGTCGATGTCTATTATAATCCTGGAGCCGTGGGGCATAAATCAAATTGCTACTGTTGCTGATGCTACCGCTCCGCACGAGTCCAATCGAATCGAATCAGGCAAAATTTCGATTCGATTCGGATAAAAATTGAGAATAGCGATTCGTACGAATTCGATTTCAAGTTCGATTCGAATTCGATTCGAGGTTCGCGAACTTTTGCTTCATAGCCTCATTGGGAAGGCGGTAAATCAAGTGGCAATACCTGCTATTCAACGCCGCACAATCGAGACCACATAGGTCGTTTAATAAACAGCATTTTTTAAGCCGAATAGCTTCCTAGTCGATGCGTACAAAGATAACTAGGGCTGTTGAAGATACGATATTCGCAAGAATCAGCAATATCGGTTACCGTATCGGCAACTCATAAACCTTGCTGATAATTATCGCATATCGTATCGGCACACTTTCAAGTCTGCCGATAGATATTCGCGAATATTCGCCGATATGATAATTATCGGCAGATTTTCTAACCATAATGATATCGATCCCCTCTACCTTCTTCCTCTCATATTTCAACCAACTATGCACACCCTCAACTAATAAATCCGTCCCAGCGGAGTGGTTTATCCGCCGCGCGCCCTCTTCTTTCCTTTTAAACCAGGTCTACATGACACTCTGAAGGTGGATAGGAGAAGGATAGGAAGCTCTACACTGTTTATGCATACATATCTCTGTCTCTCTCTCTCTCTCTTCGGGTAGGATTTCAGCAAGGAACGGCTATATGAATTTACACCTCTATGTTAACTACTTATACATATCATCTAACAGCATTGTGATCCTCAGTGTCTCTCCCTTTATAGAGAATCGTCGTACCCCAAGCACATCCCGTCCTGTATTGAATAGTCTCTCAACCGAGACTTCAGAGATTGGAATTGCTAGGTAATCCCTGGCAGCAGCAGCCATCCGAGGGTATTCCTTCTTATACACCTTCCACCAATCACACATCCAGTTTTGATCCTCCATATCACTCACTTCAGCCCAAGCACTATCAAAATACCGATCAATATCACAAAACCTAGGGCTATCTTGAGGTTGTAGTCTTTGTAACATCCGGCTACCCACTTTTTGCTTCTTATGACTAGGCTCACATGGCTCTGTCATACCCAGTGGTTCAGTGGTCCCAAAGTACTTGTGGTGAAGGTCATCACGGAGAGTTCGAAGAATGTTCCTCCCAGCGTTCTCTTCATCCAACTCATTAAGGAGGAGAGCTCCTTTCACACGAGGATCCAAGGCCAGTGCAGTATAGTATAGATCAGAGGCATCCATGAAAGTATAGTACTTGATATATTTATTGATACTCCCACCAACAGCACTTCCAATATCCTCAGTAAGATCTGCAAAATCTTCCTTGCTCTCAGCCAAATCATGTAGTAAATCGTGGAGCTCATAGTATATTGGCAAAACGAGACTGATGTGTGGCCTTTTCTCTGAGACGAACATTAAACTCGTTGAATTTCGAGAGAACATTGTGGATATGGGAAAGCCGTATCCAGTCATCTGATGAGAAGGAAAGGAAGCTAGTCTCATAGTAGATGAACGTCTCAAGCTGTCGCTTTGACTATAGAGAGTATTAGTATTAAGCATATATAGAACGAAGGACCTTTCAGATGGTGGCTCCTCTTACCTCAAATACGCCTTGTGTTGGACAGTGGATTTGAAATGATTGGCACGCACGTCTCGATTGAATATTGTCGTGCCGCAAATTCTGCATTTGATTTCATTTGAGCGAATCAGTTTGAGCTGACTCAGAACTTCACAGCGTATATTGTTTGAGCAAAATATATAAAGTCATGAATCTCGCCCACTGCCTGAGCCGTTGCAAGACACTCATCATTCAATTCACACTATTTCTCAGCACTGCCCTACAAAATCCCACAGTGACTCGGTCATTCTTTTCGGCTCTCATCAGCGGAAAAATCTCCCAGAGGTCACAAATATGGCATCGGAAGGCATCGGTATGAGACCATTCTCAGGGATTTTTCATTTTGCTAATTCCCCGCTCAGAAGTGTCTTCTTCAGCGGTTACCTGGAACTTGCCTACATTTGTCATGCGGGAAATTATTGATTTTCCCAAACTAGGCACAGAGGCCAATCCTATAGTGGTCAGCGATGACGCTGGTCCTCTGGGCTCGGCTTCTAATCCCATCATAATTAATTTTGACAACGATTGCGGCCACCACGTGCCATGGGAATATCATTCTGATGGCGACACGGAGGTTGTGGCTACACCGGACTTTTTGGAAAATCTTATTGATGGTAGCTTTCCTAACCTGCCAAATGAGGAGGCGGTCATGGATCGATTTTTCCATTGCTCCAAGGGTCTTAAAGGAGCCACTACTACCTCCACATATGTAGCCATAGATTTAGCATTGGGGACCAAAGCAGGACCTAGGTCCGTAGTCGAGATGTGAATTTTGTTCCTGGCAACCACATCCAAATTTTGAATCCACTAACCATATATCAGCACCCCTTAGGACCATACTAATTGTGCGGGGAGTTGGTAAATATGGACATTATTCAGACAATCTCATCATTGAACTTTGCGTCTATGAAATAAACCCATGCAACAGAGAAGGTTCTGATGTCAACCGTGGAGACTGAGTGCCACATTTAGGCCTGAAGAGACTCATACGAATCCACCGACAATGGTGAAAGTCTTGCCTTGTACTTGTTTCGTTATTTTATATGCTGGGCTTAAAGGAGAGATACGTGGAAATTACCAGAAGCGGTAAGGCGGGATCCAGCAATGTATGAAGAGCGGGGACTAAAAAAGGTTCAAAGGAGTATCATATCCCAAACCGGAATGGTGTTTCTATCTTCCGTCTTCATCCCTTTGATCCTATCATGAACATTCACTTCTGTGTTTGACTAGTACTGGAACAAGATTGGCTCCACGGGCTTGTGTTTCGTGCCGCCCTCCGGACTCTGAAGTTCGTCTTTACTACGACCATTGTCGCTCTGTATGGCAACTATCTAGACTAGGTGGAAAAGGCAATCACAATTACACCAACGTACTGAGTGTATGCGGAATCTTTTACCGCGTTATCCGCTATTACCTGCATCATGCATTGATTCGTTACTGCCATCCACGTCGCAGAGTCAGCTTGGAACAGGCCGCGATTATTCGTGATCTGGTTCGCACATGCGGGTGTCTTGGAGAAGCTATACGAAAAAAGGGGTTCAATGTATTGTGATTTGTACAGTTTGTTTCGCCCCTGCAAGCTCGCTAGATAGTGAATCACGTCAGTTACCTTTGCAAAGTCGTCCGGTATCCAAATCATAATGCCACTGATCGCTTCCCACACCAGAGAGAACAAAAAGACTATAGCTGGGGTCATATTTGGCCTTGATCTGCACGAGACGCTCGTAGTTCGAGCCGTAGAAATCCTGCTTGAAGTTGCTGGTGTACGGATTGGCTTCGTTCATATAGGCACCTGAATTGGGCGACCACTCTCTCCACATCCGCTCCTTGGCCTCGTTCCAATGGGCTGCTTTTTGCAGGGCCAATTTTGGTGAACTTGCGGCCTTCGAGTCCACAGTAGCGCCATTGGATATGAAATGGAGATATGCGGAGCGCCAAGCGGGAAGCAATGCGCCCCATTGCTCCTCGGCTGTGTTTCGCACACCTGGTCCGCCCTGAAGCCCGACTGTTGCATAGGTTCCGGCTGTTTCGTTCTGCGAGCGCATCGCAGTCTTGAGGTATTCTTTCTGCTTCTGAAGAGGTGTTTCAATAAGCTCATGCCGTCCGAGAAGACGGCTAGATACCACACTCTCTCCACCGGCCACTTCACTGCCAGAAATGGCACTATAGAAAGAGGAATAGTTTCCGGTATTAGATGCAGTAAACGAGACTGAAATACTGCTATTGCCCCCAGCTGCCTGGGTGATATTGGCTATAACTGGATTTACCAGCGTCTTCATCGCAGCAGGAGTGGAGTTGAATGACCAGAAGACCTGCTTAATCACCACACCCGATGTGAACTGATCGAGTGACCCAAATGACATAGCCATGTCACCAACGGCCACCATGCAGGCTCCTGCCAGTCCGGCGTCCATAAGATCTGGAAGGGATGAGAGATGCGTCACAGCTGCATCCCAGGACATTTCTGCACTGTGATTGCTGCTGCCCTTAGGCGCAATGAGAAGATTGCCCATGACCACATTCCGTGGTGCCGGATGATGTCTAATGACATACTCGGTAACCACACCATACAGACCTGGACCGCCACCACGGAGTGCCCAGAATAGATCCTGATTCTCGGCATTGTTGACAACCAGAACTTGGCCTTCAGTCGTCACAACTGTCATTTGAAGGACGTGGCTAGATGCAAGACCGTAAGTCCGGGAAATCGGACCGTGGCCGCCGCCCTGGATGTAGCCGCCGAGTCCGACGCTAGGATCTTGGCCTGTAGTGACAACTCTGCCTTGCTCGAGGGCCATGTTGAGGACATTACCCCATTGTTGGCCACTGCCAACGATGTATACATCCTCAGAGCGGCCCGTGGAAGGGTCCCGCCATGATGTGTGGCGTTCCAACTTGCGCAGATTATAGGTCCAGATAGACAAGGCGTAGGCGCCGCTTGACCTAAATGGGCACGCAGCAGATGTTAGCGACAAAGACTCATGGTACCGACCGACACAATGAGTTTCATTTACCTTCCGTTCAGATCATGACCAGTTCCTTTAACGACAACACGGATATTACGCGTAGACGCCCACTTGAGTGCTGTCGCAACTTGCTCTTCAGAAGTGGCATTCACTATGTATTGTGGCATGCCGCCAATCAAGCAACCACGCCCTTTGACGTAGCCTGAGGCATTAGGTGGCAAGCACGAATTGTTTGCAAAGATTGGGTAGTCAATGGACTCTGGGAATTGAGACTGCCACGAGGCGTTTGCCCAGGCGGAATTGACGGTACTGCAAGAAACTGGCGACCCAAACGGATTCCCATTCCAGCAGGAAGAAGCAACGGGTGCGGTGCTCAGAAGCTGATGGTCGATAGAATTGTTGAGAGACGCCCACTCTGCTTGAGTAGGCCATTCTGCATCATGAGGAGTCACTTTGCACACAGCAGATGCGGATGCTGTGACGGCGAGAGAAAATACGGCAACAGTCACGGGCCACATCTCGGATGAGGAGATACTATTTCAGGTAAATTGAGACCCGGGGGTATGCCAATCGAGCCTTATATACAGGCGAGGACAGACTATGTCATTGAATTGAATAGCTGACGAAATTTACGGGGCCGATCTGCCAAAAAAAAACTCAAAATGGCAAGCCAAGATCCACAGGTCGCTCGAATTATTATGGTATTCTTCGCTCTGGGCCCACTCACAGAGGCCCCCTTATTTCCCATAGCGGCAATGTCGTCGTACTCGTTCTTCAATTTCTAGGGTTCCCCATTTCGGCATGTTCCGAGTATCTAACTGTCGTTATGATGTTGCCATTCCTTGTTTTTGTTGTCTTGACTGCGACTATTCAAGTTTCATCTTTACAACCCCTCCATCATAGTGCGTATTGCCTGACCATACGCAAATCTCAAAAAACCAATTATCTGAGCAATCTCAACGGAAAGGTCACACCTTACGCTGCAAATTCGAGCATACGGCTCATCAGTATAATCTAGAGTGATTGAAGGCTGCCTAGTGACTTTATTTCATTCGTCGAATCCTTCTCTCCCGTGGGACAATACTGTTCATAACTGGGAAGACACGAAACGCTATTCGAAAATAGGCTTTGATAGGGCATGGGAAGCTCTGGACAAGCTAGGCCCTCCTGTTAATCGTCTCACTGCTAGACTAGGTGCCGAGATTTTCTGGCCAATATCTATCGACAAGGAGAGCGATAAGGCGGCGCGCATCGTTCGCAGTTTCTGCAAATATGGCTTCTATGCTCCTGAGTCCGAGGATGCTAGAGACGAAAATGGGGAGATCAATCGACCCAAAGGCAAACCACGTATTTCTAAAAAGATAACGCAGCAGGTCATCAATAATGCAAAGGCATTGGCTATCTTCACCACCATGCGCACTGGCTTGCGGCTCAGCGGCGCCGGCAGTGGAGTATTGCTGGGGCTTCCCACTTGGCTTCCAAGGGTTTTGAGAAGGTAGTTAACCAGTTCAGGTAGCTGTTACGTATTCTATCTACACGACCAATGAAAATTTGATGAGCGCCAGGGGTGGCATTAGTAAGTTTCAATAATTTGGTTGTTTCAGATTATCATCCACGGTTCCGCTATATTGCCGATATCCGAATTCAACGGGAGAGTTTCATTGGATCAAGAACTGGTAAGCGTAAGTTGATTTTGACCTTTTATCGTCGCCACTATTGCTATTCGGCTCCATTTTTTAAGACCCTCACCTCTTCAAATGCCCAGCCCAATTACTCGTGAAGCACTGGTCATTGCTACGACTTCTTGGAGGCGGCACCCAAATAAAGATGATCGATACAATTTCCATTGTCACCGGTAACCATGTCGAATCCCCTCCACCATATGAGGCCATTGGGGGCGCCGGCAGCAGCACCATCGACCACGACACGGCGACCTCACCTGCTGTGCCACTGTCCACCGAAGTGCCGTTTCCGGAGATATCTCTTGTTCTATTTACATGTTAGCATACCACAAATATGTTCTAACATTACTCCGTATACGTTAGATGTTTACGAAGAATGAACATGAGGTCATGCAAATCATGGATTCATGGGAGATCAACTTATCCTTGACAAAAAGAGTAAAGGTCTGAACACTTTATACACAGGGAAAGTGTGCTGGACCCTGTTTGGCGCAACCCTGCGATCTCCGTCAATTCTTTCCCTTTTGGGTGCTATGCGGGTCTAGTACTGTGATCTCAAATTAGGTAGGCATTAGGCAGTTATCTTTCTATTAAACTTGAATTAATAAAGTTGATGACGTTTTGATAGTATTTCTAGTAAGTCTAATGACAATACACAATATATAATATAATAGTATAGAAGTTCAATATCATATGCGTGAAAGACGCTATTCAGAGCTTCTTCCAGTGTTTGAATTGATTCATCTCAGGCTGGGGGTTCCCCACAGGACGTTTGGAGACATGCATGCGAGCACCCGGCATCGGGAAGTAGATACTATATACAAAATAGACGGAGAAGAATATTTCTATCTCCAGGGCCGGCCAGCACAGCCCGGAAACTTGTCCTATCATTGAAAATACCCATAATTCAATCCTGGTCGAATAAGTTCTTGGAGCTGAAAACAACCGAGTCGGCCGGGAGGTACGGCTGCAGGAGATAGGTATCCCAGTAGAGCCAGACCTCGTTGAACTGCAGGCCACCCACCGTGCCTGGCGCATTGTTGGGACCGATGTTGCAGACCATGGACAGAGGAACGCTGACGCTGGGTTTGTCGCTTTCGTTTCCGGGGGGCCAGATATGGCGAGTAATTTGAGATACCAGATCCACGCTGCCGTCGTCATTTTGGATCTCACGAACCTTCACAAAGTTGTGCGAGAGCTTCCCGCACTGCCCAAAGAGCTACTTGATCCAAGGCCAAATCTGATCCCCGCGGTAATCAACACCATTTTGGTTGTGGAAAACCGCATGGTCGGCGTAGAACGGGGGGATTTCGCTGTATTCAGATCTTCAGCGGCGTTTGCGATGGCATACTGCTGGTAGAAGGATTGGGCTGGTGTTTGGGGTCCAAGAGTATTGGCCTCGGTGCCCGTGACGACAGATGTCAGGCGAGACATGACAGAAGGAGGAGGATTGATCTTCCTGAAAGAGAAAGCGAAGTTGATCGGATCCTATGTGGGATATGAGAGCTTTCTTATATAGCCCGGAGGATACCACAGCCATTGCCCTGTCGACTGAAGGACACCTTGCTCCAGAGAATACCGCAACAGCTACGAACTGAGTCCATTCTGTTTGAGACTAATGGAGTCCTCCATCTTGGCCAGTAAGCCCGACGAGAACAACCGCCGGAGGCTCCTCAGGCTCTGATGATTGATCAGACCAGATTCCGAGTTCCACTCGGCAGAAGATCGCCAATGTCCCTCGGCGTATGTTTATTCATCATGCGTTGTATTTCTTCGTGTCATGAACATTTGACTCCAACGGATGCCCAAGCACCTATTATAAAATTACAGACGGCAAAGGCGAAATGTCCTCCCTTCACAGTTAATCCCTAGCTCCGCGGGACCCCGAACCGATTACCCACAAGTTGTAGCATATTGTACAATGGAGACACTGATAGCAGAGTCATGGTTCAAGGTGACAAATACCCGGCCGCAACGCAACCATCCCTGTGCAGCGCACAAATTTGGATCTAGGTGGAAAATGCCATAGGCCAACGCCCTCAACTGACCGGCGACGTTTATGCTATGCGCGCGCAGTAAAGCTCTAGCTGATCAGGCTAATATGCCTCGAGTCGTTTCGCCGAACGATACTATTGGTATGCAAGAGCAGGCCTCCCGTTGCCATCCCCGTGCAGAAGATTTAATACCTGTGGCCACTAACTGCGCACTCCAACATACAACAGAAGATAGAAAGATCACACGCCAGCTAACAGTGAGAATCTACATGCCCACCGTTGGCCATAGCGACACCTATCCACTCCCTGTCGGACTATATTTCCACGGCGGGCGGGTTTTGCTGTGGTGACTCGGAGTCCGAGGACACTTTCTGCAGGCAGGTCGCCGAACGCCTACCTTATGTTATAGTTTCGGTCGGCTACAGACTTGCACCGAAACACAACGCTCCTGCCCAGCTAGATGACGCTATAGAGGCGTGGAACTAGGTAGGTTGCCACGTCCGCCGGAAAGACGGAGAAAGACTTACATTCTAGGCTTATATAAACGCGACTGCCTTGAACGGCGATCGTGAGAGATGTCTCGTTGCTAGATAAAGTGCAGGAGGTGCCCTTGTTCTGACACTCACACGCCGACTGATCTCCCTAGGCCGCAGAGACGATGTCAAGGACGTCGCAGCCATCGTTTCGTTCGCCCTCCACCCCGACGCCGTGCCCTCGCGCTATATTGACCGCTACCGGGCCTTTGAGGAGTGTGCTGATAGTTAGGTCAACATGAAATAGGCCATAAGCCGTTTCTACGGTGAGTTTGGCACCGACTTCGCCGTATCCCTTTGCTACATTTCCGCTCACTATCGCCGTTATAGAGGCGATCGGGGCGCAACCCACCGGGCCCGACGTTTACATTCTCAACGCTAAGTCGGAACTATATCAATTCCCACCGACATACCTTGCCGTCTGTGAGATTGACCCTATTCGAGACGACGGCCTAATACTCCATGATCGCTTGAAGGCATCCGGGTACGTTTGTTTCTATTCACAGAGCGCGTTATATAGATCCTTCTTAGTCCTAATTTTGGCCTTTAATAGGGTCCAGCTCGAATATTACAGAGGCTTGCCCCACGTATTCTAGGCATTTGGATGTCCTGCGCCGAGTGGCGATTTCGTGGGGGATATTGTGGGAGGCGTCAAGACTTTCACGCATTCTTGACCGACCTTGTCGCTTAAGAGCAAGTAAACCTCCACTGCTAGAGAGTGACAAGTCAGGATGATGGACCTATGAACCAGGACATCATTATATGTTAAAGGATAATCACCAGGCCACAGGTGAATGTTGCGATGTGAGGTTTGTGGAAACCATGGAGCAACACATATACCGTAGATGGATAGGAATAAGGTCTTATTTCGATCACAGGAAGTTACTGAATATAGTTGAATGATCTGACCTTTCAGTAGTGCATCTATCAATAACCAGCCCTCTTAGCTATGGTTAATCTACGGGGCGACAAGTCTGGCGGGATCTCATATCTCGGCTCCCATGAAATAAAGCCCATCAGTAACCTCATTAGCCAATAATGTATTATCCTCCTCATTTTCAGCTATTTCCCCCAATTCCTTAGCCGCCAAATCGGCCGCCATTTTCACTGCGTCTTTCCGCCAAGCACGAAGCTTCAACTTATCTTCCTTCTCACACCTTCGCTGTACTAGCATATTTCCCAAAATTGGTGAAAGAGGGCTTTTGGTAGCTCCCTTTACCTAGCGCTTACTTCTTGGCTTTTTCCTAGGCGTTTTGTGGCTAAGGGCGCGCGTAAGGCTTATCTCTGTAAGTTCCGTATTATATAGAGACGATTTTCCGGCGTTGATTGCGCGCCGTAAATACTTCCGAATTTTTCGTAAATCAGGACTCGGGTTATTAAGTAGTAGGAAGACCGTATTCTCCAATTTTTTAGTGCGCGTATAAGAATTAGGCGGAGAAGTAGTCGCTAAACTTAAGAATTCGTGGGCGGGTGACGGCTCGTCGTATATACGTAAGGTCTCTTCGTCCGAATACTACCCTAAATTATCTAAAACTTATTTAGGATCTAGTGACCAAATACTAGTAGATCTAAACGAAGTTTAAATAGGTTTAGATCGTAGAGCGCGGTGTCGGACGGCATTAATATTGCGGAAGAAGTCGCGTTTTTTATTGCTTCTACCCTACGCTACAACGTTAGTATTCGCTATTTTAAAATAATGCTTTAGGCTTGAAAAAGCCTTAGCATTAAGCGGCTAATATAGATAAGTCGTGTAAGGCATAAAATACCTAGCAACAATTAAGTTTTCCTTATAAAGATCGGGAAATTCGATAGTTATATATAATGTATAATTGTCTATTAGTAAAAGCCTCGGTCGCCCGCGTTTTACGCGATTTTTTGTGGCTTTATAAAACGAGCAGAACTATCGGTAGGTAGTCTCACTATCCGTCTAGCCACTAGACGTTAAACAGATAGTTTTGTACGCCGAGGAAGAGGTTGATATATTGCTATACTAGTCTTCTATATAGACGCTGCCTTTAACTAGAAACTATAGAAACATAACCTAGCTATCGGTAGGGATATATTCAATACTACCTCAATCTCTAGTAGCAATATTAGCAGTTTAACGCGTAAAGATAACGTGGTAATTAAGTCCTTCGCTATTTAGAAGCCGGTTTTATCCTAATTATAGATCTTATAAGGTTCGAAATCATACTTACGATAGAGATAAGCAAGCCTATTATACTAATAGCTAATAACCCTAGGATCCTCGGCTTAAATTCGTAAAGATATCTTCGGTTTTGTAACGGAGTCCTCAGGAATCACGGACAGATCTCTCGCACTGCCAGAGGATCAACATCATACAGGTGTCGACACGTCAGCGTTTCCTCACCGTAACACTTATCCCCCATGTTAAATAGTGCACTCCAGGAGAACCCAGAGGTTCTCCAAGAATCAGTCTCTGTATTCCTCCAATATACTACTTGCTTTCCAGGCATCTTCGTCTTACCTAGTTGACAGGCTCTATCCTGCAAATACTAGACCCCTCTTTCTTACAGGTTTTTAGGTAACAAGCTTGATGTATAGAGGTAGACGCCGTATTAGCCGATAGCTATACATCGGACTAATAACTCTCTCCGAACCCGCTAGTTTTAATAGGCGATTTACGGCAATTTCAATGCCCTTTGTAGCTAGAGGTATATAGTAAGCATTTAGTAGTTCGATCTAGTTAATTAATGTATTTTCCTATTTCGAATCTAATACATTATTGGTGGTAGGGCGATCAGAGAGAGATGTCCGTCCGTTTTTGCGACCGCGAAGCTTCGAATAAGACACGCGATAATGGTCCACAGCCTTACGTAGGGATGAAAATTCTTGCGTATCATAAGTATCTAATGCCTTAGCTAGCAGAGCCTCTTCATCATGAGCTTTTTTTGGCATTTTTTGGTGGGTAGATATACGCGTAAAGTTGAAAAAGTAGAAAATTTGCATTATGGCTGTTAATTGCATTTTGGCTGTGGGACACCCCCCACCCGAGAGGGTGGGGGGGGCGGTCCTGTGACACGGCTAGTGTCATTTCCTCCGCCTAGGGGTATGTTTACGGGGGAGTCGAGAGCTAACGCAGTTCTACAACCGCCCATGCTCTGACTCTCCCGGTGGAACATTCCACGTAAGTATACAGGAGGTATCAAACTCAAACGTCCTGAGAGCTGCGCTAAACATCGAAAAGGGAAGCGATAAACACCCCGCCTGGGACGCTTCAATACTATGCGGTCAAGCCGGAGGGCAGAAATGAACTTACTATCATAGAAAAGTGCGCTTTTGCTCAGCTTTTTCAAGCTCTTGGGCAGTCTTTTGCTAATGGGAGAACGCAGGTACACCAATCGAGATGCATTGAAGCACCACGCCGAGTCCGAGGCGTTCAAGGCATTCCAGCAAGAGCTTGTACCTTTCCTGGAGTCGACACCAGTTATTCGAAGGGCAGTAGGCTTCTGGGGATTTGAGAATAGAAACAGCGCAAATATGTGACGAATATGGACAACATAAAAACTTCCTTCTACTATACTAGAGTCGTACCAAAAGACATCGTGCGAACTTCTGCTTCTAGGGTCAACCTGGGAGAAATAGCACAAGCACAGCAACTATCATCGGTAACGCACCAGCGATACAGATCGATGCCCCGGAAACATAGATAAGGGAAACTACTTTCGAGACCTCGAACGTCACGGAGATTATGTCAATGTTTGATCCCGCAGAAGCAGTAATGCGCAACATTCATCATTCCTAGTCAACTAAATTGGCCTATCTATTCTCCAAGCCTCTTAACCTGGCGAGGCGCAATGTCCGCCCTCACAAAATCCCTCTTCTCGACACCCCTTTCAGGAAGTCAATCCCTACCAGTGCAAATGTCAACAACATTCATTTTTATCACGCATCAATGAAAAATATAACGGAACTCTGCTAGGCAACACGAGACAAACACTTATTCAGTTCCCATGCTCTACACAGGATAATGGTGAGCAAATGCTGATGTTACGGTATGCAAATAACTTACATGATGGCACAGAAGCCTGAAACCATGTCAGCAGACGCACTTCTGTTTTCAAAGTCCGAGACGAGCCAACTTCTTTTGGCCTTCGTCGGTAAAAAGCATCTTCCCACTAGACCAGCCAGACATGAATATAGCTGGATACCTCCAATGAAACCACAGCGGATGAGACGACGCGCCAAAGTAGTGGAAGTAATAGTCGAGGCTGAAGCAAAGATAGTTGCAACTTCCCAGCACCAGGAGAGTGAGCACGGCGGTAAACCACACGGCTTTTTTGCCATAGTAATGGTCCACCAGAAAGAAAGTGGTGAGACCTCCCATAGCGCCACCCATTCCAAGTGGGCATATAATCAATGTCCAAATGACCTTGTAGATCATCTCACGCAAGCCGGAAAAGAAGATGGTCGCAACCAGAAGGAACACAATTTCAGCAATCATTGAATTGGCCCAGAACACGACGAAAGGACGAACATATATCGCACGTCGCTTGCGTGCTTGTTCTTCGTGCTCGTCGCCCGAAGTTACGATGACTTGGTACTTCGGTAGGGACATTTTCTTAATCGACAAGGTCTATCTCCAAAGAGGAAAAAATGGATGTCGAATTATTGCACACAGGCAGCTTAAGAGTTGGCGCAGTCACTTGAGTTTTTAAACACTGATGATGGGCTTCGGCACTAACGAATCAGTTAAATACATTACTCTATCCGAGATCCCGAGACATTCGGGACCGATGCGGTACCCCGTACCTCTATCCGATTATTCCGGTTGAGTTTGTCAGAGGGGCGGAAGCCCGTGTTACACCCATCGCTGAAGCCCGGTTCTCAGGACTTGGACTTCTGATGGTCTCTCCGAGGGCCGTCTTAGTATATTGTAATCAGAAAACTCAAGCCTCGGCGGTAGATCCACGGCACCCCACATTCTCGCACCGCCCTAGCTGCATTTTTGCTGCCGAACTACAAGCATTGACCGAAACACAACCTCGGAATTATCACACATTCCAAATCGAATGGAAGCTAATGATATTAGTGGCCCTCAATTCCGATACACGGCACACGTCGTCAATTGAAATTCTCGAAGTATGCCATAGTCTCGCCGATGGCATCCGTGTCAAAGGAACTGTTCGGATCACTGTGCCCGCCAATCACTATCTTCGGGTTCAGAGCGGCAAGCTTATCCAAAGCTGCATGACGACCCACCACGAAAAC